TTCTATTGAATTAGGCTTTGCTAAACTGACAAAATATGTTGAGCATCCTTCCAATGCTTTATTCAGTGTCAGTGCTACTTTATTCCTTCCTCTCATCCATAGATGTTCTCTGAGTGGGGCATTAAAACAGTCAGGCAGTTAACAAACTTTAGATAGTGACCAATGGATCAAGAAAATGACTTTTCTGTTCTGTTCTCACACTTGAGAATTAGTAGAAACACCTTCCATTTAACAGGTTGCAAAGATAAAGCTCCTTCAACTTCATGTAAGTTTTCAAACTGTTCTTGGGTCCTGGTGCCCAGGTTTCTCTTGTCTGGCTGCCACCCAGAAGTAGAGATCAAATCTACATGAATCAAGTAGAAGTTCAAAATGATGCTCGAAAGTTTCTGATGTTCTTCATTTAAGGTCTCTAAGGGTAAGAGGAAACCAGGGCCTTGTTTAGAATCAAGCTGCTTAGTCTGATGATCCCATGGTCTCCTCTCTGCTTTATTCCATTCTTATATTCTGAGAGACTATACCACAACTGAAATGGAAATATTCTACAAAATAGTAAACTAATTAATTCCCTTGGGTGTGTTTCCTGGCTTGCTTCTCCTGACGTCTTTTGTCAGTAATGAGCTCTGAGGTCCTAAATTTCTCTTTCCTTTGTATACAATGCCAAACTTCCTTATATTTGCAAATTCTGAGCTTATATGCACACAGCACTAGCACAAAGCCAGGGAGCCTACATTTCTGTTTAGCCATAAATGAAACACTAGCAGCTGATTAGCTCAGACTCCTAGAATGTATGGCCCTATGCCCTTGACCATAAGGTAGGTTTCTAGGTTTTGTGTAATGCTGCTCCACATATTTATAGACTCTGTAGGTCATACTTTTTCCTCTTTTCCATGACTGCTTAACATAGAGTTTATGCATGGGTGTGCTTCATTCTATTGACTCCTGGAAACTCTGGGCAGTGTCTATATGTACTCATGTCTTGATATCATAGATGATGATTGAAAAAAGCATTCTGATTTCTCAGGATTAGGATTAGAAATAATAATTTAAAAAATCACATAATACTAGAGTTCAAGAGGGTCTACTTTTTTAAAGCTATGATACAGTGGTTTATTGATAGCCTTCAGCATTGCATACATTGATCACTCAAATTTCTCACACTTTCACATTTTCTTCATCTATTCTGAGGCACTTGACATTTTTTCACCTTCAGTTGAATAGCTTGGCATGAGTAGACTACAAGACAGTTTATTTTTTAAAAGAAAACAAACTATCTTTTTTTTTTTCATTTTCCATACCGATCCTAGTTCCTACTTTCCCCCTCCTCCCATTCCCTTTACCTCTACCCAAGCTGCACCCCCATACAATCCTCAGAGAGGGTAAGGCACATTGTTTTGGGGAAGGTCCAAGGCCCTGACTACTTCATCTAGGCTGAGCAAGTTATCCACTCAAAGAGAATTGGTTCGAAAAAAGCTAGTTCAATCAGTAGGGATAAATCCAGGTGGTCTGCTTTTATTAAATTATTTTAAATACTCCAAGAGATCAAAGACACATTACTAATTCTATAAATATACTTTAATGACAGTAATGGAACAAAAAATGTTTTCCTTAAATGCTGAGGAAACAAAATTATATAGTTATACTATCTTTGCACAGCTAAACTGTCACCAGTGAATAATGATAAGTTAAAAGGAAAAAAAAAATTTACCTCTAAACACTCATCTGGAAGGCAATGTGACTAGAATTCAATTAAGATTTGGATTCACCCTATCCATATGTGCCTCTTGTAATTTCTCTTCCATGACAGTCAATTCCTTTTAAGCTTCAGCTGTTAATTCCCTGGAACTCTTTAAGTCTTTATTATCATCTAAGGTTTTGTTTAAATGAAGTATTAGATCAGGTGTTATTCAAACAGTCAGTCATAGACTTGAAATGTCCCCTAACAATCTTTGAAAGTCATTAAGAGTTTACAATCAGTCTCTCCTAATTTGTGCCTTTTTTGTTCTAAATTTCTGTAAACCTATTTTATGACCTAGGTGATTGACAGAATATCTTCTTTGTATTTTTTCAGGAGCAATTTGTAATCCCCATTTATGCGTACCTTTCTTTACTTCTTCAAACATTCTTTCAAAAGTATCTACATTTGAATCAAATAGCAAAATGCCATCCATGTAATTGTAAATTATAGATTTAGAAAATTGTTTATTTACTATTTCCATTGGCTATTGATCATTCCTTGTGGGAGGATGGTTCACTGGTATCTCCTAGTAGGCTAAAAATTATTATAAGTAGGCACTGTGAAGACAAATTTTTCTCTGCCCTTTACTTGTAAAGGTATACTGAAGAAACAATCTTTTAAATCAATAACTATAAGAGGCCATTTTTTTTGGTAATAGAGAACACAGAGGAATTCCAGACTGTAGAGGGCCCATAGGTTGGTTAACCTTGTTGACAGTTCTAAGATCTGCCACCATTCTCCATTTTCCTGATTTTTTTAACAACAAATACGGAGAATTCCAAGGGCTAGTTGATTCTTCAATATTGTGAGCATCTTGTTGCCCCTGTACGAGCTGTTCTAAAGCCTGTAGTTTCTCTTCTGTTAAAGACCATTGTTTAACCCATATTGGTTTTTCAGTTAACCATTTTAAAGTTAGAGCCATTGGTACCTGTAAACGTTTGCTAGTTGCTTTGTGTTAGAAAGTTTGAATAGCTGGTGACCTTTGTGTATAGTACCTTATAATATCCTTTCCAGAAAGATAAGTTTCTGGGACTGCAGGAAAGTTAATCTGAGTATTCCATCCCTGCAGCAAGTCATGATCCATAAGTTTATTTTGATATTAGCCACATATGACCTTATGGCCACATTTAGCCACATATGGCCTTCCTCTCTGTCCCTCTGGCCCTAAACATTCAACCCATCTTGTGCTTTGTTTTACTTAAGATAAGATTCCAATTCCTAGGAATTGAACATCTGTCTCTTGAAGAGGCCAATTTGGATGCCATATTCTGAAGTAATGATACTCACATATGCATCTGTGACTAGTAATCCCTCAGTTATAATGTTATTTATATGCACTCTTAACTTTGTTCTTTGATTGTTTATAGAAATTTGCCAAATTATATGCTTCTTATTTCCTTTTGAAATTTTTGATTCATCCTTCATGTTTATTCCATTATCTAGAACACTATGGTATTTTACAGGAGGCAATGGCTTTTTTAACTTTCCTGGTGATGCATGTCCTCCATAATGACTGGGAATGACAGAACCATGTTTGACTTGGGCCCTGTGAGAGACCCCCCAAGGAGTTTCCCAATGGTATCAGGTTGCTTTGTCTGTCCTTTGTTGATCTGCAATCATTGGTCCAATGTCAGCCTTTGTCATACCGCCTACATAATTCAAAAGGTTGATACCTTTTATTTTTGCCGGTCCTAGAGAAGGCATTATTTCTAGGAATTCCTTGTCTACAATCCATTCTCAGATGTCCTTATTGTACCTCAGTTAAAACTTTTGGCATTTTGATTGATTATACCATTACAAGGTTGAACAGATCTTTAAATTTCCTGCTTCATGAAAAAGTCTGCCAGATACTATGGGCCTGTGAACTGAAGATTGGATGTCCCAAAGTTACAAAAGAACTTTGAGTGAACGTTTCAGGTAGTGAGGTTTCTCTGTCAATTCTAGAGGTTTGGAAGTTGTTTACAATGAACATCCTGCCTATTTAGGTAATATTACATCCTTCTGGTGTCTTAGATGTAATTGAAGAATAGTTATAGTTATAATTTTTCTTAGTTATGATAAAAGATAGATATAAATATTGTAGCTATAATTCTTGCTTGATAACTGTTTCATTTTATGTAATTTTACTCTGTTAAAGTTCAAAACTTCCTTTTTATTTAAACAGAAAAGGGAAAATCGTGAGGGAAGTCCTCCTGTCCATGTATTGCTTTAATTGGTTATTGAATAAACAAGCTTCTTTCAGTCAATGGCTTAATAGAATACAACCAGACTGGAAAAGATATATAGAGATTCAGTGGAGTCAGGAGAAGTCATGTATCTGCCGCCAGAGACGGATGCCTCCACTGGAGCCCACCAAAACTTTTTGGTAGGCCACAACCTCATGATGATGCATAGATAAATAGAAGTGGGTTAACTTAAGATATAAAGCCAGAAATACACTTAAACTATTGGTCAAAGAGTATTGCATTTAATAAAGATTTCTGTGTGGTTATTTCGAGTCAGGGCAGTCAGGAAATGAACGAGCAGCCTCTGATAACACACTCACAATAAAATAAATTCAGCAAGGAAAAATGATTCCCAATTAAACATAAGAATAAGAATTCATGCTAAAAAACAAAACAAAATAAAAAACAAAAGACATAAATCCATATATTTGACACCTGATTTTTCATAAAGAAGCAAGAAATACACACAATGGAAAAAAGAACACATCTTTAACAAATGGTGCTGTTCCAACTAGATGTCAGCATGTAGAAGAATGCAAATAGATCCATATTTGTCACCCTGCATAAAACTCAAGTCCAAGTTTATCTATGACCTCAACATAAAACCAGATACACTGAAGCTGATTGAATAGAAAGAGGAGAATAGCCTTGAACACATGGGCACAGGAGATAACTTCCTGAACAGAATACCAATCACACAGGCACTAAGATCAACAATTAATACACAGCACGTCATAAAACTAAAAAAATCTGTTAGGCAAAGGATGCAATTAAAAGGGCAAAATGGAAGGCTACAGACTGGAAAAATATCTTCACCAACCCTACATCTGACAGAGAGCTGATATTCAAAATGTATAAAGAACTCAAACAATTAAACAACAACAAACCAAATAATCCAACTAAAAATGGGGATAGAGATCTAAACAGAATTCCCAGCATAGGAATCTCAAATATCTGAGGAACACTTGAAGAAATGTTTAATATCCTTAGCCATAAGGGAAAAACAAATCAAAATGACTCTAACATTCTATCTTCCACTTGTCAGAATGGCTAAGATCAAAAGCACAAGTGATATCTCATGCTGGAACAAGAGGATGTGGAACGAGAAGAATACTCTTCCACTGCTGGTAGGTGTGCAAACTTGTACTATTGAAATCAATATGGTGGTTTCTTAGAAAACTGTGAAAGATCTATCTTAAGGCACAAGTATCTATACTGTTCCTGGTCATCCTGAAGGATGCTCCACCATACCAAAAGAATATTTGCTTAACTGTGTTCATAGTTCATAATAGCCAGAGACTGGAAACAACCTAGATGCCTCTCAACTGAAGAATCATCCTGAGCAAGGTAACCCAGACCCAGAAAGACAGTCATTATATGTACTGACTTATAAGTGGACTTTAGCTTTAAGCAAAGGATAAGCTTGCTATAATTCACAGATACAGACAGATGCTATAAGTAATAAGGAAGACGCAGGGAGCACAAATCTATCTCCCTGAGAAGTGGAAATAAAAGAGATTTTGTGAGTGGAATGGGCGCAGTTTGGGATGGGAATAGATAGGATGAGACAGAGGTAATAGAAGAGCAAGATATAGAAGGAGAGAGTATTCGTAAAGATTACTGGAATTGTGGAGCATTTTAGGAGGTGATGTGTTAACACAATACAGTGCAAACACCCTGGAATCTATGAGGGTGACCCTAGCAAAGACTTCTAGTATTGGGGGATACTGTCCTTGAACTGGCTATCTTCTTTAACCTGTCAAAGGTGGGACTGGGACATCATCAACTGAACCACAATATCTTTGACCCACAGTTTATCCTGCTTACAAGATATGCTGGAGTAATGGAGTCACAGAACTTGGAATGGTAAACCAATGACTAGTCCAACTTGAGACCCATACCACAAGAGAAAGTCGATGCTTGTCACTGCCTAGAATGACCAGGAACCAGAGGCTGGATAGGTCAAAGACCTAGAAAAGAACCAAACACAATGGGGGAAAGCAATGAAATGACTCCTAAAGACATTTTGCTACATGTATAGATTGGTGCCTAGCCCAGTTGTCATCAGAGACACTTTATCCAGCAACTGATGAGAAACAGACGCAGAGACCCACAGCCAAACATTAGGCAGACCTCAGGGAACCCTGTGAAAGAGGGAGAGGAATGATAATAAGAGCCAGAGTGGTCAAGGACACCACAAGAAAACCCACAGAATCGACTAACTTTGGCACATTTGCACTCACAGTAACAAACTGACAACAAGGGAGCCTGCATGGTACTGAATTAGGCCTTCTGCATATAAGTTAAAATTGTGTAGCTTGGTATTGTGGGAAACCCAAAAGTGGAAACAGGCACTGTTTCTGACTCTGCTGCCTAATTTTAGAAACATTTCATCCTACTAGATTGCCTAATCCAGCCTTAACAGGAGAAGAGGTACCTAACCTCACTACAATTTGATATATAATGGTTGGTAGATATTGATGGAAGTCCTTCCCTTTTCTGAAGAAAGAAACTGAGGAGGAAGAGTGGATGATGGGAGAAAGGGAAAATAGAGGGGTAGAACTGGGAGCAGAGGATGGAAGAAAAACTATAGTTCAGATATAAAAAATAATAAGTAAGTAAATATTCAGTGAGCAAGCAAGTGTAATTCCAGAATCCAAATATATTTGCGTTTTTAAAATTTCAGTAGAATGACGACATGGAAGCCGGAGGAATTATGTTATCATACACAGTGAAGAATGCATTTGGAATATTCATAGTCATGAACACAAATTGTCCTCTAGCATTTGTGCCTGCTTACCTGATCTTCATGGAGGAGAGGGCCTGGCAGAAAAGCATAACAATAAGTAGCCACCAATGAGAAGGCATCCCAAGGAGATGGAAGACTAGTTCAGAATGAGGAATGCTGTTCCCAAGAATAGCAGGATGAGAAAGAAGCAGTCACTGGAGATGATGCTAAGGGGAAACAAAGACAGAGCCACAACCTCTGGAAGGACTGGAGTGGCCGAGGCTAACTTCTGCTGAGAGCAGGGCAGGTCTGCACTGTGAAAAGTTCACATTTGATGTTTGAAGTCAATTACCTTGAATTTTAATAGTACTAAGGACAGAAAAATATTAAATCTGTGTTGTAAAATAACTGTGAATAAAGGATGGCTTCAGCTAAAATTGAGAATTTATCTAGAACCATAAATATAGAGAGTGGAAAACTTCGCCCAAACATTGTCAGTCAGTGAGTTGCATAGTAAACTGATTCCATCTGGTGGTCCCTGCATGTGGCTTACATATAAGCCGGTCTTAAATTGACTTTAAATGCTGAAAAAAAATAAAACCTAAAAAACATTACCAAAGCAACTTATAAAAGAAAGTGTTTTATTTGGGCCTTAAGATTTCAGAGGGTAAAAATCCAAGACTATTATAGTAGGGGTCATGGCAGCAGAAAAACATTTCAAAACTGAGAAAAGACAATATTGGGGAGAAAAACCCAGACCCCACAGCTGATTTAAAGGATGACGCATACAAAAGTGGCAGGCCGGATGATATGGCTGGAGAATTCATTAAAATACAGTCTCCAGGAGAAACGTTTACCAGGGAGGTCCTGTCGTCTGGGAGGATGACAGTGTCGAACCTCCCTCAGGAAAAAGCTTGGGATTCATTTTTTCCCCAGGGATGATGAAAGCAGGCACATATTGGTCTTCTCTAAGCAGTCCTACCCATACTCTTCCTTCAAGTTCAACAGACCCTTACAATAGAGAATAGATGAGAATCAGAACAATTGGGATCTGTTGTTTGCTGTCTTGATGATAGCCATTTTGAGTTTGCAGTAAAACAGAATCTCTACTTACTTGTGATTTGCATTCCAGTGCTAGCAAAGCATGATGAACACTATTTCTGAATCTGAATTCATGTCTGTGTGCAGATCACAGAAGGAATTTCTATGAGCGTAGATGAAAAGCTTACTGAGGGATTTAGCCTCTCACTTTCCAAGATCTTGTCCTAGAACTCAGCTGATCACCTGCACCCACCTGTTTCAAAGAAAAGCCTGACAACAGAAGCGACTGCAGGACTAATTCTCCCTGATCATAGGGCCAGCCACTCAGGCTCTGAAGATCACCTTGACAGAAGAAGCACCTCTCTTGTCATCAGCATCTTTAGCCTCTCTGCCTTTTGGGGTTAGAGGTAAGGTCTCTGTCTATGATTTAGACAATATGTGGGGGCTGTACGTTTTAAGAATCAGTGTCAAAAGCTCCCACTTCTCATAGATTCTCTCATTCCTCAGTCTTCAGACCCTAGTCTTTCTAAATATCCCATGCAGGAACCCACTCTGAATGTTTGGGGACACTTGTGATCATTCTTCCCTTCAATAAACATCCAGAATTCATCCTGCTGTATTGCTGGTAAAGCTCAGTACTTGAATTTATGTATACTTGGAATGTCTTAAGCTCCTGGCATCTGCGTCAGACCCCAGATGAATATTACCTCAAAGGGGTGATGCCAGTTTAAGTTCCTTCTGCCTACATATCTGCTTGACATTGAAAATAATACAAGAAAAGCCATTTGAAAATAATTTTTAAAATTAAATGCACTGCACAATGACACAGGGGACAAACATATGAAAACATGTTTCTGAATCTTAGCTCCATGTCCTGAATTTCCTCTGGCCATCTCTATGAAATGGAATTGTTTTTGATCTCTGCTGACAACTCTTGCTGTGAGGTTACCATGCTGCAAAGCCATTTCTCTAGAAATAGATTCTTTCTTTGCTCGACACATGTGCATGCCCTGCTCTTCCTCTTTGAAGGACAGAAAGAAGAGACAATGATGAGGATAGGAGGGAAATCATGAGTCTTGGTTCAGAGGGAAGTGGGTAAGATCCTAGGCTCTACTTATACCATCTTAATATAATCCCATTCCTCCTCTTTCCTTTAAAATACTGTTCACACCTAGGCATAGAAATCTAAAAGAATGTGCCAGGAAATTGCCTGTCTCCATTTGATTCTCAACTATTTTCCACCAAATCTATACAAAAGCAGTTTTTTCAGGTCTCACATGTGCCAGAAACACTATCCTACCCAAATGTCTTTCTTTCTTTTTTCCTTTCTTTTCTTTCTTTCTCTCTTTCTCTCTTTCTCTCTCTCTCTCTCTCTCTCTCTCTCTCTCTCTCTCTTTCTCTCTCTCTTTTTCATTTCTTTCTTTCTGTTACTTAAGCAAAGGACTCCCACACAGGGTTTATGCAGTAAGACTGTTATTTTGATATCCTAGAGCAAGTGGAAGGTTAGGTGCCATAGAACTTTAAGATGTAATTTTTAAGAGGGCATTTTTTGGCTGACATCTGCCCACGGTTTAAGGAGGAAAGAGTCAGGGTGGATATGCTGTACTGCTCTTCCGTGCACTGACCTTCATGGTGCCATCTTTCACTGTCTCTTTCTGAATGCTGGGTTTCTTGACTTAACCAGATCCTATTCATGTGTAACTGCACTTCATGTGCTACATCGTCAGGATATATGTTCCTGAAACTTCCCTTTTATGTTCACCACATGCAATATTTTAATTTAACTATCAGTAATCAAGATTGTATGATACATATTTCTGTGTGATGCGTTTAAATTTTTTTTTAATTTACTGTAGAATCAAGTTCAGTTCATGATACAGTGTAGGTTCTCAGGAAATGTTGACTTAGTGAATGAAAAGAATTGGCTCATGTGACCCTTCCAACTATGATCCCCTCACTTAAAGGTCGTGATCTGAGATAACTGGTGTAGAGATACGTAATATAAAAGGAACAAGTACAGTGGGAAAACATGCATTCAATGGTGAATTTTTCATTTCTCTTTCCATTTCATGCTTCCTTTTTTCTTTTACCCAACAGTGAAACACATGTATTATTAAAATGGAGTCTCTCTCTCTCTCTCTCTCTCTCTCTCTCTCTCTCTCTCTCTCTGTTTTGTGTGTGTGTGTGTGTGTGTGTGTGTGTATGAGAGACATAGACAGACACTACACCACTACACCACATACTTCATTTCCTTTCATTATCAACTTCTTCAAATGGAATTATCATATGAATTCAGTATGTGACAGGAGTCTATCCTTTCTTCTGGTAAGATCTGTGAAAACTGTAAACTGTTACTTACAGTCAGCATTTTTCTCTAAACCCTACATAATGGTTTCACTTTGGGCCGTACTTGACAAGTCTTATTTTTGTAAGATACTATTTGTCATGTGCTATAAACATAGACACCTGCCATGCCTCTGTGAAGCCCATCTGATTTTTTTGTTCACTCTTAAATAAATATCTCATCATTGCCTTCAGATAAGCATTAAACCCTGTATTCACCTTACCAAATTGTCACTAAATTCTAGCTCACCCACTACTTAATCCAGTTTAGAATTACTTTCCATTTTCTAAGAATAGCAAGTTTTAAAGGAGAAGAGGGTGTTTGAAAAGTACAAGGGATCGTGCTTGTTCAAGGACCAAGGATTCCTCTTGTGAGAAAGCTATTAATTATATCAGGAAGAAGAGGCAGAATAGTCAAATGAAGAAAATAAAACTATTTTAAAAATTAATCTTTAAAATCTGAATTGTAATCACAAGCAGACTTCAGCTAGAAATAGAATTTAAATCAATGCTCATTAATATGCAGACAGATGTGATTTTATCTGCCTATAAAAATACTTGTTTATGTAAAATTTACTTAATAACGTAATAAAAAGATTCTCAGTGTTTTGTTGTTTTCAATGTGCTGCTTTCTATTTAATTGAGGCTGTGCCGAAATTCAGTGAAAACATTCAGAAACCATCAAATATCCTTAGCTAAGAAAAGGATGCTGCATGATATCCTTTTTAACCATCCCACAGTATCCTAGGCAATTCCAGATTGGTTTGAATTCCCATAGAAAGGCTTCCACTGAGAATGCATTTGTTTCTAGGCAACATAAAAGACCACTCAGAATGGAGCTCTGGAACTCCACCTTGGAAAGTATCTTCATCTTGGTAGGTATTCTGGATGACAGTGGCTCTCCTGAACTGCTCTGTGCCACAATCACAGCCCTGTATATGTTGGCACTGACTAGCAATGGACTGCTGCTTCTGGTCATCACAGTGGATGCCCGGCTTCATGTGCCCATGTACCTCCTACTCAGGCAACTGTCTCTCATTGACCTCCTCTTCACATCAGTTGTCACTCCCAAGGCTATTGTGGATTTTCTACTCCAAGACAACACCATATCCTTTGTAGGTTGTTCACTTCAATTGTTTTCGGCAATGACATTGGGTGGTTCAGAAGACCTCCTTCTGGCCTTCATGGCCTATGACAGGTACGTGGCCATTTGTCATCCTCTAAACTACATGATTTTCATGAGTCCAAAGATCTGCTGGCTCATGGTGGCCACATCATGGATCCTAGCATCCCTTAGTGCACTGGGGCACACAGTGTACACGATGCACTTCCCTTTCTGCATGTCCCGGGAAATCAGACACCTGCTCTGTGAGGTTCCTCCTTTGTTGAAGTTGGCTTGTGTAGACACTTCTCAATATGAGCTCATGGTTTATGTAACGGGGGTGATATTCCTATTGCTTCCACTTTCTGCCATTTTTACCTCCTACTCACTAATTTTGTCTACTGTCCTGCATATGCCCTCAAATGAAGGCAGGAAGAAAGCCCTGTTCACCTGCTCCTCCCACTTGACTGTAGTTGGCATGTTCTATGGGGGTGCCACTTTCATGTATGTCCTACCCAGTTCCT